ACCTAGGCATTGGTAACTATTCCACAATCACTAAAAAAGCTGAACATGAAATCTGAAAAATTATAAAGGAGTCATTACAGAATAGCATCTCTGAGAGTTCCAGGCTAGCCTGGTCTATATAGTGAGTTCCAGGCCAGCCAGAGCCACAAAGTAAGACCTTGTCTCAAAAAACCAAAACCAAACAAAAAGCAAATGACATACATTTCACTTATTCTCTTCAGTTCTAACAGAAAGCTGGGAATGCCTGGACATGGAAGAGTCAAGAATCCTGCATGTTACCTTTACAATAGAGTCACTCACCATCTCGATCCTCATCATGAACGCTGAGGTAAAGATACTCCAAGCCTCTTCCTTTTTTGCCATGCTCTGCTCCTTGTAGTTTGGTCATGAGAGTTGTTTTACCAGAACCATCTTCTCCTACAAACGACATTCGCAAGAAGACAAAGTGTACTTACTATGTGTCATGCTAGTCAAAAATGGCAAGCCCTAACAGCAACACAATAAGGAACAGCTAAGACTCTCAAGCAAGCCTGCTGCTAAGGTCTCAGCTCTCATGAACAAAGTAAACCTGCTCTGGGTAGAGGCAAAGACAGCCAACCCCAAGAGCCCAAATAACCCTCTACTGTAGTTCTCTTTACTTCACAAGGGAAGGAATAAGGCAAATGCACTAACTCTACCTACAATTTCTAAGACAGACATCCAGAGAAGGGAACGTCAAAGGAGAGGGCTAGTTTCTCACAAAATAAATCTTGACCACAGTAAAAGAAAGAACTCTTCAAAACACAACTAACCTCAAAAGTCTAGGAACACTGAACTAAAATTCTGTTTCTGAGCTGGGTGTGGTGGTGCACTTGGGAGACAGGCAGGCAAATCTCTTAAGTTCGAGGCCATCCTGGTCTACAGAGTGAATTCCAAAACAACCAGAGCCACATAGAGAAACTGTCTTGAAAAACAAACAAATCTGATTCTGCCTCATAATCATGAAGTTTATAAATATTATTTACATGCATTTGATTTTAAAAACATCTTCACAAGTACCCTAAAGGCTTGGAAACTGGAAAGAAAGTAATTACTGACCTATGCAAAACTCCTTAGTCTCAGTACCAAGTGCTTTCTCATCTCCCTCTGACTACCCATATCCAATACCATCCCCCACATAATGCCCCCTTAAACATAAACTAGAACCACTGTTACCAAACATCCTCAGATTCAACAATATGGAATTAGAGAACATGAGAAATGAAAAGCAGTCCACAATGATCCTCCCTCCTCAGTGCCTCACCGTTTTCATGCGGGTCACAATCCACCTAGACCACGGTGAATGCTTGTCAGCCTGACTTCAGCACCTGCTCATTCTGATCTACCTGGTACTCTGCAGCCTGAGTTATTTCCCTAAAGCACGTATCTGGCTATAACCTACCACAGTGGCCATTACCTGGATGAGAGAAACATGGGGAAACCACCAGGCAGTTATTTCCATAAGGCTCAGAGGAAGATAAAATCTGTGAAAATCAGGAGCCTCAGGAAAAAGGATTAATCCTTCAGTCTTTCATGATCTGACCTCAACTCATCTTACCATTTACTGCAAGAAACTTCTAACAGTGCTCAAACTCTTCACCCTCTTGTTATCTCTATGCGCGTGCACCTAAACAATAACCCTTCAAAACACTTGACTCCACAAGCTCTGTTTCAACACATCAAGCAGTGTGATGCGCCCACAACGGTCTGCTCTTGACAGGAAAGATACAGTGCAACCACGCACACATCTGCCTCGGCTAGACTGGGATTCTTGCAGAGTGTCTAAGATGGTCTGTGCTCTGTCCCATTGCTCACACCAACAGCTCCACAAACAGCTCTGCATGTGAATGCGCCTGATCCCTTTCATTTGTATGAGATAACTGAAGACAGGGAGATTAAACGACTGACTTGGCAACCTAGCAGTGAGAGCAGGAATAGTGCAAGAAAGTTCCTGGGGCTGACTCGCAGCGTGTGCCGCCTTTGGGGAGTACCTTATGCCTCTGCTCACGAGGACTGAAGAAAGGCTTCTAGACATCTCCTCAGTTCCCAGCCCAGGTCACCTAGTTCCCTCATTTTCTCCATCTAGCCTGCACATCCTCTTTTCCCTTTCTTCACACCCTCAACTTGGTGAGCACCAGACCGAGCGATGAAGAGAGTCAAGGCTGAAGGCTCAGCCAGTGATTGAAGGAATGTGCCCCAAGCCCACGCCACACATCACTGGACTCCAAACCGAGCTGCATTCTGGGGTCAGGAGAGGTGTGGGCTTGGAGACTCTCCGGCTGCCCTGCTAGAATCCAGTCTACCGGCCGGCGGCAAGCAGGCAGTAAGGGTGGAGAAGGCTGGAACCTGTGGGAGGGACACCGCCTGGCCCACCCCGCCGCCCCAGGGCAGTACCCAGTTGCTCACCGAACACCAGAATGTTCTTGCCGGAGGGCAGCTTAGACCTGGCGCGGGTGGACACTTCGCTCAAGATCGAAGACCTGTGGCGACAATGTCAAGAGCAGTCAGCGCGGGACCGCCCAGGACCGCTCGCCCCGCCACTGCCGGTCAATGTCTGCCCACGGTACCGCCCGTCCCGGCCCACTCTCTGCCCGGCCACGCCACCCGTGGCTCTGTACGTCCCTCACCAAAGACTCTGGCCTTCCTCCTCTTCACTGGTTAGGTCGCCGGCGGCCGCCACCGCTGGCCCATTGGGGCCCAGCAGCAGCTTCTTCTCCACCCCCACCGGCGCCATCTTGCCAACTGCAGCCACAAAGAGGGCCCTCCCCCGGGCCGGCCGAGGACCCGCAAGGACCCCGGCCGGGCCGCGCCGCCCGCCCGCCCAGTCGCAGAAGCTTCGCTAGCCAGCGCGGCCCGACGGACTGGCGATGTCCGCGTGCGTCAGCGGTCGCGGGATCGCCGCAGCGAGGGAGGGTTGCCCGGTCAGGCAGCGAGCCGGACAGCCTTACGTGGAGGTGGAGCCGCGGGCGCTGCCATACCGAGGGCGCGCTGGCGACTCCTGCAGGCCTAGACGCTGCAAGCCCAAGCTTAGGAAGAGAGCCCCATTTATGCCTCACCTTGTGTGTCACAAGCTATCTCGTTGACTCTTGCTTAACTCTTAATAAGTGAGGAAACTATAGCTCAGAAATGTAAAAGAAACCGGGCTGAGTCGTGGCCTACCATGAAGACTCTACAAAAACTGACTGAGCATAAGTTTGCATGCCTGTCATCCTAGCGACGGGAAGCTGGCAGAACGGGAACCAGAAGTTCAAGGTCTTAGATTACATAGCAAGTTTAAGCTGAGAATGAGCTACATGAGACCCTGCTTCAAAAATAAAATAAAAAATAAAAAGAGCTTGGCATGGTGGCATACGTCTTTAATCCCAGCACTTGGGAGACAGAGGCAGGTGGATCTCTGTAAATTTGAAGCCAGCCTGGTTTACATACTAAGTTCCAAACTAGACAAGGCTAGATAGTAAGACCTCATCTCAAAACACAGCCTTAAATCCCAGTGATAGAGGTAACATCCCAGTCATGATCATTATTCTTAAATTCTTATTTAGCAAACTTGGCATAATTCTCAAGATGTCTATTGAAAGATTATCGCCGGGCGGTGGTGGCGCATGCCTTTAATCCCAGC